TCCTATAAATACTGCAGCCGCATGTGCATGAGCCACCCCTATCTGCTTATGTCTCTGATGATGGATTCGAGCAGGAATCCGAAACGTCAGGCTAATAAAGATCTTGTCCCGGCGATCGTGTCTTCTTCTTCTTCTTCTTCTTCTTCTTCTTCTTCCTCTTCTTCTTCTTCAAGACTGCTCCCTGGGACTCGTCTCTTCGCATCTATTGGCAATTGTATCGAATGCCAGTTTACAGGCATTGTCAGGGAAGCGTTAAACAGAAATCCGGTCAGCAGTAAGAAAAACTCCTGTCAAAGAGGAAAAAAATATAATTGATGGTGGTTTTTGTGGTTTGTAGTGTTCAGGAGAAAAAACACTGCTGACCACAAAGATGCCGACAGTTAAGAAGGGAGAGGTTCCACGGCATCGGAAATTATCGGTCGCCAATTACTTTCATGAAGTTGGGGCTGGTCTAAACAGAAGCGCCGAAGAACAGCTGTCACTGTTGGCCAGGGAAATCGCCCCTGGTGAGACCGGCCATAGAGATAAGAGACCAGAAACGCCATCGCTACGGTAAAGTCGATCAGTGACTTCCGCACCCAAAATGTTTGGAGATTTTCTGAGTGCAAAAATCGATTAATATTTCTCTTGAATAAAGGATAATTTTTCAGAGTTTTCACATTCCTGAATAGTTTATTCCAAATAACAATTGCATTTACAGAAAAGAACCGACGATATTTAACAGTATGTGCCAAAGAAAGAAATAGAAAGACCTCACGGTGACTGTTCCGACGGGGGTGGACAAAATGTCTTAAAGTAATAAGTGGGTTAAAGGTACGATTATATGAAAACTTAAATAGCAAACACAGTCCCATAAAGGATCAAGGCCTGTAAGCCGGGAACGTGCTTGGTAAGACAAATGTCGGTGTTCCGGAGTTAAAACTCTGTTGGCAAAAAGTGTTGAACGGATTCGATTTTTTTCTGCTTAGCAGCACACATGAGCTAAATAAAGACGAACAGTATGCCAGGCCAGGTCTTACGTACATGTTATAAAGGCGCATTCTAATGTCACTAGTTTTGAAATTTAGATGGATAAACCTGGTAGTTCTGCGTGTTTTGGAAGCTATCAAGGCACAGTGCTCCGAAAGGCTGACATTCTTGAAGTATAATACACCCAGTTTCTTAATAACCCCAGGCACATTTAAGGCGGGACCGTCAATACTTAGTTGAGGTTAGTGGTCGACGACAGCCACAATGACTGAGCATTTACGCCAAAAGAGAGAAAGACGCTATGTGCTGTGACAGTTCGACCATCGGTTTCGATTATGTCCACCGTGTGCCCCACAGTTGCAGCAGCAATGGGAGCAGGGACGGTGACTTACGCAGGGATTTATAGTGCCGGTAGACTTGCGTAGCATCTACCTACACTCTCTCCTCCTCCCTCGTCCGAGACCGGTGTCAAGACAGAGTCAAGAAGACCGGAGACGAGAGAGGCCGCAGGTGGATGGCTCGGACGTATCCTCACCTTGGCGTTCCACCACACCTCCTGGTCCACACAACAAATAACCAGGATTTCAACCAACACAACAGAGATTTGGAGGCTGGCACGGCCGAAGCCGCGCCTGGGCTTTCCGCCAACGCCTGGCTCGGATTCCACACTGTGATGGGAGTGCCATAAAGGCCACATTAAAAAGGAGCCATTGAAGCCTGACTCTCAGACCGCCTCCCGTCAAGGAGGAGGTCCAAGATACCCCGTCAGTTGGCAACCTTCCAAGCCACGGCTTTTAGCGCACCGTGATAGCTTCAAGCGCGTCAGATTGTTTATAGTGAGGAGAAAGTGCGCTGAGTCGTCGACCTCGCTCTCCCTTCCCACTCCCACACCCCAGCCGCTGTCCGAGCCGGTCAGCAGACTGGAGTGGGGAATGGGCACGGTGGCTGTCATGGTCGACTGACCATGACTGCGCGCGCCACGGCACGACCTGGCCTTCCATACACACAACACCAGGATTTCACACAACGGGGGTTGAACGGCGTGTCTCTCACTTGCGTGAGAGTGCCGTGGAAGGTGCTGTCTCAGCCCGTCCCCAGCCCACCAGTCCGCCACTCCACACAACGCGACGAACTGCGTGAACCGAGAGCGGCGTCAATCAGCAACCTTCCTATCCACGACGCTGGACGTGTCGGTATAGTCTCGGACTCAAGTCACCCGTGCAGCCGAAGCCGCATGGGGACCGAGTCGAGATGCGGACTTCCCATTTGCGTGGGAGGTGGCAGTTGGGTGCATGAGGTGTGTGAGTGTTGATTTCTGATGGGGTGATGGTGGTGGTGAAGGAGGTAGGGAGTGAGTGAATGTGTGGTGTGGCCGGCGGTTGTCTACCACAGGTCGTCGTGGATGCGCATGTGGCCGAATAGGCCCATGCGATGCCTGAAAGTGCGAGGACAGTGTGGGCAGTTGAGACGAGCTTGGTGGGTATAGGTGGGTGCTCCAGGCACTGGTTCGCCAGTCTCTGTGCGATGGATGCGCAAGTGACCGACCAGGCCGATGCGTGAGGTGAATGTGCGTGGACAGTGTGGGCAGGAGAAGTCGGCGGTGTCAGTGTCAGCTACAGAGGAGGCGGTGGTGGTGGTGGTGGTGGTGGAGCGGACGGATGGAACGAGAGTGGGGGTGTGCACGGTGGATGTGTTGGATGTGGTGGGTGTGTCGGGAGTGCGGTCAAGGCCACTCTCGTGGATGCGCATGTGGCCGAATAGACCCATGCGATGCCTGAAGGTGCGAGGGCAGTGTGGGCAGTGGAGGCGAGTGCGGTGGGTGTAGGTTGGTGCTTAACGCACTGGTTCGCCAGGCTCTGTACGATGGATTCGCAAGTGACTGACCAGGCCGATGTGTGAGGTGAAGGTACGGTCGCAGTGAGGGCAGGTGTAGTCCTGATCCTCATCCCTGGAGTCAGGGGAGGTGGTGGTAGTGTCGGTTGCTGTGCGCGGGACAGTCGCCTGAGCGGCCGCCGTTGGAGCAGTGGGCGAGGAGAAGGAGGAGGAGGAGGATGATGAATGTGGTGGGTCAGAAGAATTGTCAGGGTTAGTTGGCGGCGGAGAGGAGGAGGAATAGGCAGGCGGGGGGACGATGGTTGGTGCCGTTCGAGAGGCGCAGTTAATCCGAAGATGTCCAACAAGTCCGATTCGAGCCCGGAATGTCCGTTGACATCGAGGACACGTTGGAAGCGGTTGTGCGGCGGCGTTGCTTACTGAGCGAAGTTGTGATTTGCGAGCTTCACGTTTCGCTTTGGCGGCAGCGATGCGGTTGGCTTCGTAGATCGCAGCGCCTGTCTTCACTGTCCTCCTCCAGGTCGGCCGATCGAGTGCGAGCTCCTCCCAGTTGGTGGGGTTTATTTGCAGGCATTTCAGGGAGGACTTCAGGGTATCCTTGTATCGACGAATCTGGCCTCCTTGACGGCGAGAACCCGTCGCGACGTCTCCGTAGAAGAGTCGTTTGGGTAGTCACTCGTCGTCCATGCGCACCAGGTGACCGCTCCAGCGCAGCTGAATTTGCCTCAGTATGGCGTAGATGCCGAGGATTCCCGTCCGTTCCA